TGCAACAGCCGGAGCTGGGCCACGCCGAAGCCAGGAGACAGGAGGTTCCTCCAGGTCTCCCATGCAGGTGCAGGGGCCCAAGGACTTGGGCCATCCTCCACTGCTTTCCCAGGCCACAGCAGAGAGCTGGATCGGAAGTGGAGCAGCTGGGACTTGAATCAGCGCCCATATGGAATGCCGCCAACACAGCAGGCAGCAGTTTTACCTGCTAAGCCACAATGCCAACCCCTTTAAAACTATTTTAATGGTTTCTCAGGATATGCAAAACATCTTTCAACTAACCAGTGTACTTTCAAATAATATTATTTCATGTATAGCATAAGGATTTTGTAACCACATACGGCTGATCTGTTATTTCCACCTCTTGTGTTATGTTTGTCATATATGTTACTTTTACATATGACATGAAGCCATAACACACTGCTAATAATCTTTCTTTAGACCAAGGATTAGCAAACTATGGCTTTATATGATCCCTGAGCTAATCATGGTTTGTATATTAAAAGTCCTGAGGAGGGGATTTTGGCTTAGTGGTTGAGACCATGGACGCCCACACCCCATACTGAAGTCCGGCTTTGAGCCCCAGCTCTGCTCCTGATGGCAGCTCCTTGCTCATGTGCACCTTGGGAGGCAGCAATGATGGCCCAGGTAGTGTGGTCCCCCCTGCCATCTACATGGGAGACCTAGGATAGAGGTCCTAGCTCCTGGCTTCAGTCTGGCCCAGCCCTAGATGGGCAGGTATTCAGGAATTGAGCCAGTGGATGGAAGATTTCTGTCCGTCTGATTTAAAAAATAAATAAATAAAGTGTGGTGAAAAAAAAGAAGAGGGAGGAGCCAGCGAGGAGGGAAGGATACACAGTTTAGTGTTGAGTGAAATGTCGTTATATGGCACATGGCTGTACATAAAGAGGAACAAATCGGAAATTCTAGGACTGAAAAATACACTAACACAAATACAAAATCCAGTGGATGATCTTAACAATGGAATAAGTTGGAGAGGAATCAGTGAACTGAAACACTGAATAAATAGAAATCACCCAGTTGGAACAACACAGGAAAACCAGACTGGAAAAAAGTGAACAGAATCTCAAGGACCTGTGGGATTGTAGCAAACACTCTAATAACGCCGCTATCATTGTCGTCTCCGACACATGGGAGGTAGAGGGCAGGGGCGGAAAAGTACCCCAAGAAGTAACGGCTGAAATCTTGCCAAATTTGGCAAAAGAAAACCATTCGGGTTCAAGATCTGAGCCAAAGTGAAGCAGAATCAACCCACGTCGACCCACCGCAAGATGAATTACAGCCGGACTTCCGACAACTAAAGACAGAGTGGGGAGCAATGAAACCAGCAAGAGAAGTGGGACGCCCTACCTGCTGGGGGGGAGACCATCCCCACCACGGCGCGTTTCTCAGCACAAACCACGCGGCCAGAAGGAAGCGGCACAACTTCTCTTCAAGTCCTGAAAGAAAAGAGCTATGGACCCGGAACCTCTCGTCAGTGAGAATGCCCTGCAGGAAAGGGGGAATCCAGGCATGGCATTAGTCTACTGGCTCTAGAAAAAAACAGCTAAATGCAATTCCCCATACAGAAAGGAAATGGTAAAAGAAGGACCCTGGGAACACTAGAAAGAAAGAAAAGAAGATTATAAGCAAAAATATGAGTAAAAACAATGGATATTCCTCTCCCTCCTGAGCTTTCTAAATTGTATTTGACAACTGAAACAAAAACGTGTCTGATGTGAGATAAACACGCAATTATCACAAGACCCAACAATTACACTCCTGGGCATTTTTTTCTAAAGAAACAGGAACTCATGCTCACACAAAGCCCTGTGCACAAATGTTTACAGCAGCTTGATGGACAAGGCCCCAGACTGGAAACTGCCCCTATGTATGTCCTTAAACAGATGCAGGCTCTAACAACCGTGGTTCATGGCAACGTGGGACACTCCGCAAGAGAAAGGAACGAACTGTCGATGCACTCTACGGCCTGGGTGACCCTCGGGAGAATCGGGCTGAATGGAAGAGCCAATCCGAAAAAGCGAATCACTGTACCACTTACATAACAGAGCTGAAATGACAAAATTGTGGAAATGGAGGGAAGGGGGCGTGGGTTGCTGGGGAGTGGGTGTGGCCATCGAAGGACAATAGGAATCCTTGTGGTGACACAGATGCTCTGGGTCTTGGCTGTACCGTTATTCTGTAGAGTTTTGCTACAGAATATTTTGCTCTGTGTTATTTTTCAATACCTTCATATGAATCATCTCAAAATCAAATGTTTAATTTTTAAAAAGGCTACCAACAAGAGGGTGAAATGCCAAGCCACAGAGTAGAAAAAAATTATTTGCAACACATACAACCTATAAAAGATTAATATCCGGAGTATATAGATAATTCCTATATGTCACTAAAAAATGCAATAAAGAAGTGGTTAAAGACAAATTATTTTAGAAAAGAGGATACTCAAATGATAAAAACACATATAAAAAGCACTTAACTCTAGTGGTTATCAGGTGAAAAGGATTAAACTCATGAAGAGAGAACACAATAGATTCTTCAGGATGGCTGAAATTTTAAAAAACGGAAATACCAAGTGTTAACAAAATGAATGTCCTGGATCTTTCACATACCACTAGTGGGAAAATCAATCAATATAACCAGTGTGGAAAATCATTCGGTAGTGTCTATGAAATCCAAGCATATGTGTCTCCTATGACTAAGCAGTTTCGCTCTTTGACATGTATCCAATATAAATGCACATACAGAGGGCATTAAAAGACGTGTACAAGAATGTCCATAGTTATATTACTCCTAATATCCTTATAGTCTAAACCGCTGAAATTCTAATCAAAGAATGGATACAAAATTAGGGCACGTCCATACACAATCACCCACATGTATTTATCCATGATGCATTGCTCGCTCTCCCTACCCATCAACCAGTCCTCAGGACGATGCCTCCAAAACGTCCCCTGGATTTGTTCACTTCTCTTTCTCCCCACTTGGATCCGCATCCTTTCTCTCACGGCTTACTGCAATAGCTGGTAGCTGGCATCTTGCTTCTCCTCACGCGGCCCTAGGGTTCACTAACTGCAAAGCAGTCCGATGGTCCTACTCAAACACACACCGGATCACCTCCTCCTCTTGTTTAGACTTTCTGGTGGGTTCTCATGCAGTTAGGATCGCACCTAACTCCTCGCCATGGTTTGGAGGGCTGCCGTGCTGGTTCTGAGATAATCGAGGATGTTTAAAAAGAAAGATCTTAGCGAACACGGAGTAGTTTACGTGAGGTGAGCTTCTTTCTCTCCCGCGTGGTCCCGAGTTGGCAGGACAGCTGTGTCGGACGCAACGTGGACTTCCGTCTCTGGCTCCAAAGCGCCTGCGCAGCTCAGACTCTCACAACTGCATCTCAGCTCGTCAGGGCAAGGAAAAAAAAACGTAAGGGGGCCGGCGCCGCGGCTCACTAGGCTAATCCTCCGCCTTGCGGCGCCGGCACACCGGGTTCTAGTCCCGGTCGGGGCGCTGGATTCTGTCCCGGCTGCCCCTCTTCCAGGCCAGCTCTCTGTTGTGGCCCGGGAGTGCAGTGGAGGATGGCCCAAGTCCTTGGGCCCTGCACCCCATGGGAGACCAGGAGAAGCACCTGGCTCCTGCCATCGGAGCAGCGCGGTGCGCCGGCTGTAGCGCGCCGGCCACGGTGGCCATTGGAGGGTGGACCAACGGCAAAGGAAGACCTTTCTCTCTGTCTCTCTCTCCCTCACTGTCCACTCTGCCTGTCAAAAAAAAAAAAAAAAAAAAAAAAAAACGAAAGGGAGAGGACAAAGGAGAATTTGTCCCTTTTAAGGGCACAGCCCACAACTTCCTGTCTTCATTTCCACTTGCAGCTCATGGTCCAGCAGCTGGTCATACGGCACCACCGGCTACCAGGAAGCCTGGGCAACATCGTCGCTGGTCAGGCTGACCGTGCCCACCACTGCACTGTCCCGGGAGATGCGACCGAGGACACCCCCGCAGCCTCTGCTCCCGCCTGCTTCCTGCGGTCCGCCTTCCCGGCCTCGGCTCCTCCTCGGCTCCTGGTCTGGCCTTCTTGCTGATTGCCTCCTCAGTCCTCAGAGCCTTTCTCCCTGTCCTGTTCTATGTCCAGAATGTTCTTCTCTAGATCTTTTCATGCATGACTCCTTCTTATCACGCGGACCTCAGCTCACGCCTCCTGTGGCTTCTGAGACATTCTCTGGCTCTGCCCTTCTGAGCGAGTCAGCTCCGTCAGATCACTCTCCATCCCCTATTGCGTTGTTGCTGGCGTTTTATCATTAGCTTATATCCTCATTTTTTCTTCCTGCTTATCATCTGGGTCTCCTGCTGGACTGACTATGAGCACTCTGCGAGCAGGAGTGTGATCTGACTTATTCTCTGTTGGATCCACCGTCTAAAGGCTACCTTGGGTAAGTAAGCATTCACCCCGTGTTTGTTGAACAGAGAAACTAATTTAGCCCAAACCCCTCATCTGATACAGGAAGGCTGAGGGCCAGAGGAGGGCTGTGGATTGCCCCCAGATCCCCAGGTTAGTGCTTTTCTGTAACGCCCTGTTTTGTCCTGCCTCTTCTTTGAAGTTGCCTTCTATTCATCTTACCCCTCAGCAAAGTGCCTATGGCACTCAAGTATGACAGCCATCTGGTGTTTAGTCTATGCTACTTTGTATTCTTACGTATCCTTTATTACATATACAAGCGGCTATCTTGTTTCCCCCAACCAAGCTGCCAGCTCCCTGAAAATAGCCACCGTCTAACATACACGCACACACACACACACCAGTATGTATTTGACAAACCACACTGAAGTTCCTTTATTCAGTGAGGGTGAAGCCCGGGATGATTAGAACTCTGATCTTGTCCTATAACTGAGGCTAAAAGCCGGCTACCAGAAGGCTAGATTTGGTATTTGGGGCAGGACGGGGAGGTCATTTTTGTGTGTCCTCAGCGAGACATCGAGGCCGGAGCCCTTACCTGCAGCTGGAGTCTTACGTGGTTCATCAAACTTATGCAGACGGGCTGCTCTGGGTATCACGGGCGGGTTCTGAAAGGTGATCCTCGCCGTGGGGGGAATCAAGCCTCGTTCTAGCATACTTAAAATCCCTAAAAAGGAAGGTGAGCAGCATATGAGTTTAACTCCAAGCAATTCCACAAAGCATGAGCTCTATAAATTTTGCAAGAGAAGCTCACTCCAGTCATCCTCTCACTTGCAAGGGTACACCTAGTTCCTTAATCCTTTGCATGAAAAAAAAATGGCTACAGTGCACGTTCATTTAAGCTTAATAGTCTAACCCAAGGAAAAGAAAATGTCATTTCCAATATCCATAATCTGAAATAAAATTGCACGAAGGTAATTTCATTTTAAGGTAGAAATATAATTTCAAGGCAAACTAAAACTTCTTTATACTTATGACACTTTCAATCATTGGGAATATTGTTATTCCTTTTTAAATTCAGAGAAATCAGCCACATATTCTTAATAACTAAGGAGATGATTTGTTCTGAAAGAAACAAAATCTGTGTGCTTGAAACCATGCCCTAGGGCCAGCGCTGTGGCACAGCGGGTGAAGCAGCCGCCTGAAGCGCCGGCATCCCATATGGGCACCGCTTCCAGTCCTGGCTACTCCACTTCCGATCCAGCTCTCTGCTATTGTTAGGTAGGAAGTCAGATATGAGCTTATGTGTGTGTGACATAAAGGCCTAAAGACTTGACATCTAGGTCCAGCATATGCATCTCAAAGTCATCCCGATAACGTTTTAGGGGTAGCCCAGTATTTGCATCCTGCCCTGCCCCCTTCTTCCTGATAACCTGCCAGGTGGGGATCCCTGCCCCTTCTGCCAGATAATCTTCCAGATGCAGCCCAGCATCTGCACTTCAAACGCACCCAGCCCCTTCTACCCGATAACCATCCTTCCTCTAAGGCTCCTCTAAGGCAGGGCGGAGCCAGCCAGGCCTCCTCCTGTCTGACCTTCAGAGGGAAAACTCAGATAGGAGTTTTTAGTATTTACATCCATAAAGTCTTTCGTTTCAGGAGGAGATGTGTGAAGACAAAGACCCATCTCCTTAAAAACCCCTGGCCTCAACCAGACTGTGCGCTCAGTCCTCTGCCTCTCTGCTGAGCCACCCCTCTGCTGAGCCACCCGCCTGGCCTGGCCAGGTGTATTCTCTCCACTCAACCATGTAACCCCGCTCTCCCCCAGTCTGAGCGACTGGGCACTCTCTCTCAGGTTCTGTCTGGAGAGGTGCCCATCCGTTCTTAGGGATGTCCCTTCCCTAATAAACCTTGCTATTTTGCTTTCCACTACTCTCTGTCTCACGCCTGAATTCTTTCTTGCACGAAGACAAGAACCCTGCCATTCACTGGTAACACTATGGCCTGGAAAAGCAGTGGAGGATGGCCCAAGTCCTTGGGCCCCTGAACCTGTATGGGAGACCTGGAGGAACCTCCTGGTTCCTGGCTTCGGATTGGCGCAGCTCCAGCCGTTGTGGCCAATTGGGGAGTGAACCATTGGAGGGAAGACCTCTCTCTCTGTCTCTCCTTCTCTCTCTGTGTAACTCTGACTTTCAAATAAATAAATATTTAAAAAAAAGGTCACAACCTGTAGGCCCAAGGATCTTAGGCTCTTTGGAGGACCTCTAGAGGGGAGGGATTTACCCTTTAGTCTTTGTCTACCTGGACCACAGGGACCACAGGGTTCCTTGAGTTCCTAACCCTGGGAGAACACATAATAGAGGATTTCAACAGTGGAATCTGACTCTTGTGAAAACTTCAGCCAAACAACCATAAGGTGGTGAATTAACATTCTTGCCACACCAATGTAAACAAGCAGGCCAAACCCAATGAGACCAGGGGGGATTTATTTGGATCAAAAGGAGAGAAGACTATAGGAAAACTAGGTAGAGAGGAGTAAAGAGGGTCACGCTTAGGACATTCAGGCCTTAGTCATCTGCTCCCCTAGTCCTTCATCTGTCTATTCGTTCAGCCCCATGTTAAACGTCCACAAAGTGCTGGATATGGTTTAAGGCACCGGGAACATTAAAAACCAGAAATTCGCTGGTTCTACAAGACGAGAATTTAGACTAAGATATGCATAGTGTAAATGCTAATTATATTCATTCTAGCTTCATATTTCTGCATAATAGTAAATTAAAATAAATGTTTATTTAACTTTTACTTATTTTGAAAGAGACAGAGAGAGAAGCTTCCATCTGCTGATTCCCCAAATGCTCACAACAGATGGGGCTGGGCCAGGCCCAGCCAAGAGCTCAAAATTCCATCTGCACTTCTCACATGGGTGGCAGGGACCCAAGTACTTGAGCCATCACCTGCTGCCCCCCAAGATGCACAATAACAGGAAGCTGGATTGAAAGTGGAGGAGCTGGAATTTGAACCAGGCAGTCCGATATGGAACGTGGGTGTCCCAAGCGGCAACTTAACCGCTCTGCTAAATGCCTGTCGCAAACTAAATGTTTTCACAGCGCTATTCGAATAGCCTCAGAAAGATCTCTCAGAAGCTTCATAAATTCTAACAGGAGCACATAAACACAACGATACTTTTAAGACACAACACCAATGCTGAAATCAGTCCGAAGCTCAGAGAACGTTGGACTCCAGGCGTGGGAGGGACGTGGGGTCACCTGGCACAACCTTCTGAGGGCTCGGGGAGGAAACTCAGAGTGAGGACCTGAGTCAGCCATGGGTGGCTGAGCCAGAGTTCAGACTCAGGTCAAACCCCCACCCCAGCGCGGTGCTCTCTGCTTCCTCTCCCAAGCACGCTCAGCAGCTCCCAAGCCACCAACCCTTGCTGGCGTCCTTTTGCAAGACCGGCACGGGGGTGAAGTAGGGATCCATGCGGTGAGAAGACGGCAGAACGGTGAGGCTGGAGATGGTGGACCCTTTCACCAGCTTCTGAACCTTCACCTGCGTGATCAAGCATTTGTTTTCAGCACACGTGTTCGCCTTCACAATGAACACAGTTTTCTCTTGTAAACAATAAATAAGATTATGAACAGTTTCATTAAGTTTTAATAAAGTAGCAATATCGGCTCCAATTTTATTGCTCATGAGTACCCTGTGCTATTGTCTACTGTCAGGATTTTGTGTAATTTAAAATAGTTAATTAAATCCAATTAACATGTTGTGATTTCCACCATGCAAAGTCAGTACAGTAGTTAATAAGGGAACTATTAAGATTTTGTTCAATTTTAATGACTACAATATAAAAGTGCTAAATCTTGACGGAGGAGGTTTTGAATACAGCAAAGTTTGGTACAGGCGAATTTCCCAGGAAACAAATATTAGAGTTTTGAGGGTGAAAAAATAAATTGGGATAATTTACAGATACCTATCAGCCAGTATAAACAGGTTAAAGGTGAACTTGAAGTACACTCCTCTACTGATCTCGGAAACACTTAAAGACACAATATCTAGATCAGTTACAGTAGATAATTACTTTTCCTACAGTCATAGAATGCCTTTATTAAAGTTATGAAATATGAATTGCTTCTATTAAATGCTTTCTAGATTTTAAAGATGATACGCACTGCATATAAATCACATTTAATTGAATAGCCCAAGAACACTATTTTTACCTTTGTTATAGGAGATTATAAATTACCTGGGCCCTCTCAGCAGGGTAAATGCTGCTTTTTGGTATTTATAGACTGATTTAAATGTTCAAGTCATTTTCCCAACATTAATTAATTTGCATGACTTCCAAGGGAACTAGGTAATGGTTTGCTACTTAACTCATAAAGAACTCGAGACAGAAAGGTTAGATTTGTTTCAGGTCACACAGTGCGCTACATGTACACAGACTTCGGTTTTGAAACTAATCTGATGGTACACACACAGGATTTACCACTGCACCCAGTTGTACCACACCTTGCTGCCCAGTAGGGTCAAGGTGACCTTTGAGAAAAACAAAAGGAACATCTCAACCCTGGGTGTGGGGTGGGGAGTCACCTTATGAAATCAGCCTCCGCTGGCTGAGAATCTCTGTGTGAACCGTCTTAGCCACCCACCCCACCACCACCAGGAGGTGACAAAGAAAGGAAACTAAAGCAGCCATCGCTCCATGGATGCCAAAGCCTTCGATGACGCTCAGTAAACAAACACATCGAAATCGTATTACTTTTCAACATCTCCTTTTTTTTTTCAAGATTTTTATTACTTACTTGAGAGAGAGAATTACAGAGACAGACAGACAGACAGGAAGGTCTTCTATCTGCTGGTTCATTCCCCAGATGGCTGCAACAGCTGGAGCTGAGCCGATCCCAAGCCAGGAACCTGGAGCTTCTTCCAGGTCTCCCATGCAGGTGCCAGGACCCAAGCACTTGGGCATCTTTCATTGCTTTCCCAGGCCATAGCAGAGAGCTGGATCAGAAGAGGAGCAGCCGGGACTCGAACTGGTGTCCAAATGGGATGCCGGCGCCGCAGGCTGAGGTTTAGTCCTCTACACCAGAGCGGCAGCCCCTGGACATTTCTTTTATTTATTTATTTTTTAATAAGACTTATTAATTTGTTTGAAGGCAGAGTGATACTGAGAGGGAGACAGAGAGAGATCTTCCATCCGCTGGCTCACTTCCCCAAACATCTACAACAGCCAGGGCTGCTCTAGACCAAAGCTAGGAGCCTGCAGAGGCCTAAGTACTTGAGTCCTCACCTGCCGCGCCCCAGAGTGCACATTAGCAGGAAGCTGCATGGAAAGCAGAGGAGCCAGGACCCAAACCAGGAACCAGGCACGCCGCTCTGGGATGCAGGTGTGCCAATGCAATGTTTCCTCCCAGGTAAGTCAGAAGGGAAAGAGAAGATGCTATTGGCTATCGATGAGCAGAAGAGACGCATGCGCAGGTGCTGCCCAGTCTTGCCAGCCTCCCTCGGTCTGCCTTTTTTTTTTTTTTTTTTTTTTGACAGGCAGAGTGGACAGTGAGAGAGAGAAAGGTCTTCCTTTTGCCGTTGATCCACCCTCCAATGGCCAGCGCTCTGCGGCCAGCATGCTGCAGCTGGCGCACCGCGCTGATCGGATGGCAGGAGCCAGGTACTTCTCCTGGTCTCCCATGGGGTGCAGGGCCCAAGCACTTGGGCCATCCTCCACTGCACTCCCTGGCCACAGCAGAGAGCTGGCCTGGAAGAGGGGCAACCGGGATAGAATCTGGCGCCCCGACCCGGGACTAGAACCCGGTGTGCCGGCGCCGTGCCTAGTGAGCCGCGGCACCGGCCTGGGTCTGCTCTTACCCCCAGCCCTCTTCCTCTCTCCTCAACCCCACACGGTGGTAGCTCCAGGGTCTCGCCGCCATCAGGGAGGCTGAGATGATCACCGCGAGGCCTGTACTGCAGGGATGGCATGCACGAGGCCAAAGACTGCCCGCATCGGAGCCGGCAGGGGCTCCACGCCTCTGACTGATATCAGAGTCGGCCAGGCAAAGGCAGATTGGGAGAAGTAATTCGACTTAAATAAAATCGTCAAGCACTGTGGTGACGCAACATGTGGGTTTGGCCGTTTGGTGACATGGAACGTAATTTATCTGGATTTTCTGAAAGCCTTTGACAAAGAGCACCTGCCAACCTGCTCTTGAAACTGAAAAGTAGCAGGGTCCAACATAAAACAGCACACAGAGGAGGACGCGTGGGGACGGCCCGAGGCAGGAGCGTTCAGCACATTCCTAACAAGACTCTAATTCTTGGAGTTGCATCAGCCTACACAATGTCACTGACCCAACGACTGTGGTGAGGAGTGTGTGTGTGCCTGTGCATGTGGGGGCGGGGGAGGTGGGCATTGAGGGGAGTGTTACAGTTCACAGACGGAAAATAAATCCACCGGACGGTGTCGCTGGATCTGAACCATCCGCCCACACCTCTCCGTGGTGAGATAACAACCTCTGCACACCCTTGGTCAGAGCGAGCAGGCATCTGACGCCCTTCAGCATTTACTGAGCATTTATTATCTAACACTAACTTTAACACGATGAGCGTTAAATTTCACGAGCAGTGGGAGTGCAGAAGAGGGAGTCATTAACTCTGCCTGCTGGTGTTGCACAACGCTTCGCCGAGACTCAGCCCTGATCTCTACTGGAACCACTCAGGGAGCTGTTGAAAACACTGCTGCCTGGGCCCCAGCCTTGGGCAATTAAATCTGAATGGCTGGGCTGGGGCCTGGGCTTCGGCGTTTCTATAAAGCTTCCCAGGTGATTCTCCTGTGCAGCCAAGGTTGCTACTTAAATTGCATCTTTAAGGAAGCATTGAAATGTAGCAAGCGGAGAAGAGGATGCAGTTATAGGTACAAAGAATGGTGGGGTGGGGGTACGGAACAGCTCCACCTGCACAGCAACACAAGAAGGAGTCCCAAAGGGAAGGCGTTCTCACCTGGCTGGGGTAAAGGGAGTGTGTATCAGAGGCCAAGGGGATGAGACTGGAGAGGGAGTTTGAGATGTAGGCAAATGAGAAGCCGGCTGACTGCCTGACAAGTTCAATCATCGCACGCTCTGGCTGCGCAAGGCACACTCTTCACTGTGTTTGACTCAGGAGCCATGCTTTGTGGTGTCTGTTGTGTAATGTGAAATACCGTGAATAAAGTCATCTGAAATACTGGATGATAAATCGGACAATGTCCTTTATTTCTGACCCCTCATTTCTATTCGCAAAACTGTAACTCAGAGCTTTTTCACTTTGAGCCTCAACCCTCTATGATAGTTTAATTTTTTTTTTAAATTACAAACATAGGGGTCAGCCCTGTGGCACAGTGTGTTAACACCTGGCCTGCATCGCCAGCATTCCATATGGGTGCTGGGTCGAGTCCTGGCTGCTCCGCTTCCAATCCAGCTCCCTGCTAATGCATCTGGGAAAGCAGAAGAGGATGGCCCTGGTCCTTGGGCCCCTGCATCCATGTGGGAGACCCAGAAGATGCTCCTGGCTCCTGGCTTCTGATTGGCTCAGCTCCAGCCAGTGCGGCCATCTAGGGAGTGAACCAGCGGATGGAAGACCTCTCTCTCTGCCTCTCTCTTTAACTCAGTCCTTCAAATAAAATGAGTCTTTAAAAAAGAAGGTTACAAACATATACCTGTAAACTTACAGAAGAAAACACTATTCATATTCCTGATGGCCAGAATGAAACATTATTCTTGGCATATTTGCTTCCCGTGTTTTCAAAAAGAAAACCCTATCTATTTTATTATTCTGGTAAAGATGACAGATGTTCATTATAAAGATTCCATTCAATGCCAAAACACACGAAGATGAAAGTTTAAGAAGTCAAATATTATTAGATAACCCAACATCTCCAATATCTTTAGAATGACTGATACATCACTTTATAAAAATGGGATTACAGGGGCCTGTGCTGTGGCATAGTAGATTAAGCCTCTGTCTGCAGTGCCAGCAAGCCTTATGGGCACTGGTTCGTGTCCTGGCTGCTCCTTTTCCAATCTAGCTCTCTGCTATGGCCTGGGAAAGCAGTAGAAGACGGCCCAGTTGCTTGGGCCCCTGCACCCACAGAAGCCGGGAGAAGCTCCTGGCTCCTGGCTTTGGATCAGCCCAGCTCCAGCTGCTGTGGCCATTTGGAGAGTGAACCAGGCAGTAGAAGACCTCTCACTCTCTCTCTCTGTCTCTCCCTCTCTCTCTCTCTGTAATGCTGCCTCTCAAATAAATAAATCTTTAAGAAACTAGGATTGCATTATTTTTTTTTTTGACAGGCAGAGTTTAGGCAGAGAGAGAAACAGAGAGAAAGGTCTTCCTTCTGTTGGTTCACTCCCCAAATGGCTGCTACAGCCGGCACGCTGCGCTGATCCGAAGTCAGGAGCCAGGTGCTTCCTCCTGGTCTCCCATGCGGGTGCAGGGCCCAAGCACTTGGGCCATCCTCCACTGCCTTCCTGGGCCACAGCAGAGAGCTGGCCTGGAAGAAGAGCAACCGGGACAGAATCCGG